GTGCCATGATGGATGATACACTGAAGTCCCCCAGGACCCCAATGTAAGCCCAGCTGTGTGGGTCCCAGGCTCTGCCCTGCACTATGGTTTCACCACCCACAATGACTGAACCCGACAGTGTCTCCTGTGGCCTCACTTGACCAGGGCTCCTAGAGAACACTGCTAGACTCAGCCCCCACACAGCAGCAAGCGCTCGCTGGTGCTGTAAAGCCCGTGGTGGTCTTTCACCCGCTCTTCCTCTCCTACTGCTACCACAGAAAGAGGGGCCTTGGCGACTCTTCCATCATCAGTGGGGGTCGGAGAGATGGATGGCTCAGTGGTGAAATGCTTGCCTCACAGGCAGGAGTTCGATCCCCAGAAGCCATGTGAAATGCATACACTTGCAGTCCTGGGGTTGAGGAGGCAGAGACAGGAGGATTCCTGGGCCTTGCTGGCCAGGCCAGTCTAGTCTAACATGTGAGCACCAGGCCTACAAGAGACTCTGTCTCAAAGGAGGCAGAAGGAATGCCTGAGGAATGATACCTGAGATTGTCCTCTGACCTCCGCAGGACCTGCACATACATATATGAAAGGGGGGAGGGGAACAAAGCCAAACCTCACCGACATTGGCCCTTACTAAATGCAAGTTGTGGGTGGGGAGCCACTCTTGCAGCTGAGGTGATTTCTGGACATGGACACCTGCCTACCCGCTACCCCAAGACCATGCATATCTCCAAGGGCCTAGGCCTGGCCCAAAGACCCCAGTATCCCCAGCAATAGGAATCCCCATGGTTTGCACTGAAAGGGATCCCCCTAGGATTCACTGTTCACTGTGAAAATATACCCAGGTAGAATTGCCAAGGGTAGGGTCCTGGGCTTTGGCTACAGGAGCTGGGCCAGGGACCAGTGTCACGGCTGATCAACTGAGGCACCCCACCCCACCCCCAGTGCTCCCAGGAGAACTACTACAAGCATTAAGCCTGGAGCCACTGGGGTTCTCTGTCTGGAGCCCCAAGGCTTTGGAAACTGCAGCAACATGGGAAGGAAGGTGGTGTCTGTAGGGAGAGGACACAGACTTTGCCCCAAGGGACTTGGACATGGGCAAGGTGCCAGCATCTGCTTGGCAGTTACAGCTCTAATGATGCGGCACTCAGTCTGTTACTCCTGTCATTTCCTTGAAGGGATTGTGCCCTTCCTGAGGAACAAATGCCATTCTCTCTAAAAGGCTGGAGCAAAGCACCTGCCTGTGACTGTTAGTCGAGTGAAGGAGGAAAGAGGAAGGTTGGCAGGGGCATCTGCTGCCCCCTGAGCAGCTGCCTGCTCCCTCCCTCGCCACTGTGCTACAGTTGAGCATAGTCACGTGACTAACTGTCCAGTGGGGTGTGACTGGAAGTGATACTTCTAGGATCAAACATTTAAGACCCAGGGTATGAATCCTTCACTCTTTATTTCTGCCAGGGCTACCTAGATGCCATGGGGGTGGCAGGACTACACACAGAATCCAACTAGAGCCTTGAATCCCCAAGGAAGCAAGCTGGGGACATTTGGATTCTCCGACCCTAGCGCAGTACCAGGAGAGTGTGTGAAGCCGCTGAGATTTGAAGGTTTACTATTGTGTTGTGGCCTACAAAATCCTAACACAAGAGACGATGGGAAAACCTTCAAGCCATATCCCAGACACCACACCCCACAGAGCACAGCTAGGCCGGTACTAAAGCATCAACAAGATTGCTGGGGGACACTCTTAGCTGGGGGCAGAGTGTGGGTGTGGGAGTGAAGGGAACAGCCTCAGTGTCAGAACAATAGAACTCCCATGATTTGCATCCTCCAGATGGTCACAGTCAGGTCTCTAGAAAGCCATTCTTCCACAGTGTCCTCTCAAGAAGGATTGGGGCTGTATTATGAAGGTGCATATGGCCTGGAGTTGGGTTAGGAAGGACATACGGCCACAGTCTTCCACTGTCCTGGTCTAGGGAAGTAAACTGACAAGTAAATGAGCGGGGACACTGGGACAGGACCCATCACGCAGGGGTGAGAGGAGGTCTGGGGGACCGAGAGGACGGACCTGCCCTGTGTATCGGAGAGGGTGCCATAGGGGAGGTGACCTCCCTAGAACAAGGGCACCAGAAGGGAGAGAAAGCATGAGCTGGATGCCAGGCAGAGGGAAAGCAAAGAGGAATGAAGGGTCAGGGCAGATGGGACAGGGCCCAGCTACACTGCAGGTAGGGTAGACTGAGCCCAGGACAGGGGCCGGGCAGGGGAGCTGGATCAAGAGACTGGAGACGGCAGCTTGAGCTTCTGTGGGAAGAGGGGCTGCTGGGGGTGGGGCGCAGAGCTAGCGGGGTCTTAGTGTCTCTCTTCCCTTGAGAAGAGAGTAGAGGGCAGGTAGGAAATGCGCTCAGGCTAACCCCCTTTATCCAGCTCTTGCTTCAGTGGGAGGGGAGGGAGCGAATGGATTTCTGTCTGGGGGTTCATTTATCTCTGCCTATGCCCAGGGACCCTGAGCTAGGGAGAGTTTTCTTATATGGTGGTCTTTATGGTCTTTACTTGGACACACGGTGCTTTCTAGGTAAATTTGGAAGCAAGAGTGTTTCATGGTCACCGTACACCCTCTCCAGCCACTAGCACTCAGTGTTTGAGGCAAGGAGTCCCGAACATCCAGCACTGCGTTATGTGAGCCCATACTGGGAAGCCTCGTACACGCCAATGTCATGGCCGGGGCAGCCTACATCCGGGAGCCCCAACAGACAGGTGTGGGCACCGCGAGCTGTGCAGTGCTTTAAGGGATGCTTAAGAGCTCTCAGAACTGCCATCCCCTGAACACCCACTTCTCTGGGGCCTGGAATTCTTGTGCTAGAGAGCTGTGTCAACATCATCCTCTCGAGGATGCAAAGCCCCCATACAGTGGCCAATCGGAGGTTTCTGACCACTGCTGTACATTGGGAATTCCCTGTCGTGGTTTAGAACTATGGATTTCTCTGTATGATCCTGCAGCTGAGAAGGCCTTCCCATGATGCAGCAGGGTCCGTTTGTGTAACCAGCACATAGCGTATGGGAGAGCAGTGCTGTCCTCCTGAGAAGAGGCAGTGAAGGCTGACACTTCTGTTCTCAACTAGACACCCTCCCCCTTACTTGCTTTCTGTAGTTGTCTATTAAGGATCTCTCTCTCTCTCTCTCTCTCTCTCTCTCTCTCTCTCTCTCTCTCTCTCTCTCGGGTGTGTGTGTGTGTGTGTGTGTGTGTGTGTGTGTGTGTGTGTGCGCGCGCGCGCGCACAGGCAGCAGCCCGGGTATGCAGGTAAGAGGACAACGCCGTGGAGTTGGCTCTCTCCTTTCACCTTTGTGCGGGTTCCAGGGATTGAACTCGGGTCGTCCGGCTCGTGCAGCCAGCTTGCTCACCCACGCTGCCACGTCACCGGCCACTCCCTACTTGCTTTGACTCTGATGTGCTGTGAACTCTGACCTCTAAGCCCAGCGTGGTGGCACACACCTGTAATCTAGGACTCGGAAGGCTAAGGCAGAAGGATCACTGTAAGTTTAAAGTCAACCCGGGCTACATAGACTCCACCAAAATAAACAAACAATAGAAACAGACGGTAATGGTTTTAAGCAACAGGATTCCTGGGGAAGGTCATCAAGCATCGTTAAGTCTCATGCTAAAACACACGAGAAACAGAAGGTACAAGACAGAACCATGGTAAGTTCTGGAAAATGAAAACCACATCAGAAGAGATGAACAGTCATTTAGACACTCGGAAAAGATGAGTGAGCTCGAAGATATAACAGCAGAAGTTACCCCCAAATAAAGAAAGAGAGGGGGAAGAGACCTTTAAAAAAATGGGCAGATTTTTGGCAAGCCATGGGGAATGAGAGGTAGGGCCTACAGACAGTTGGAAGCATGGTGGGGGATGAGGATACACACTGAAAAGTTTCCAAATACGGGGACCGGGGACATGGCTGGTTAGTAAGGTGCTTGCTGTACAAGCATGGGACCAGTGTTCAATCTCCAGGACCTGTGTTAAAGCTGGCTGTGATGTTGCGTGCCTGTAAGGACCAGGCCGGGGAGGCAGGACGACCCTGGGGCCAGCCAGTTTAACTGCATTGCCGAGCTCCAGGTTGGTCTATGTGCTGATTAGTTTTTTTTTCCTTTTTTTTTTTTTTTAACAAACCTGACAAAAGCTTAGGTCATCTGAGGAAAATCCTCCATCAGACTGACCTGTGGGCAAGTCTGGGGGGGCATTTTCTTGATTGACAATTGATGTGGGAGGGCCCAGACCATTGTGGGTGGGGCCATCCCCAGGCTGGTGTGAGTAAGCCACGGGGAGCAAGCCAGTAAGCAGCACCCCTCCATGGCCTCTGCATCAGTTCATGCTTTTGGGTTCCTGCTCCAACTGCCTTCATAGTGGATGGTAAGCTGCAAGCTGAAATAAACCCTTTCCTTCCCATGCTGCTTTTGGTCAGGACGTTTATCCCAGTAACAGAAAGCACACGGGACAGTCTCAAAGAGTGAAGTCGACAGCAACTGAGGGACAGAGATAGCAACAAGTTTTTAAAGTCTACTCTTGTGTGTACATACACGGACGGCGTCTCGAGACCTGAGTCCGCTCAGCTCTTTGTCTTGAGCTCGGACCCGTTCTGGTAAAGGAACCACACCCAGGGCAAAATCAGCCAGTACAGCAGGCACCAGGGGCTGGCAGGAGAAGTTCCTTTGTCAGAAGCCACATTGGACACTCTGCAGATTGCCACCCATGTGAGGGCGCTGAAGGATGCTCACTCACTGTGCTGTCAGGCCGAGGAACCAACTTCCAAGCTGGGGCAGTGGCCAGCGCGAGTCCCCTTCATTCAAGGGACAGAGCCCGCCCTTACGGTGTCGCCAAGGTGGGCTGCCACAAACACTGTCCGTGGGACAGCTGGTCCCAGGTGGGTCCCCATTCTACCTACCTGCTCCTATGGCCCAGGCAGAGCACCGTTGGCTGGAGCGAGGGCCCAACAGGAGTGCCCAGGCAGCCAGACTGAGGACCTACCTGCCAGGTTGGGAGGACCTTCTCAATGTCATTCAGGTTGATGCCATCTCCATCTTCCAGCTTCCCTTTGCCACACCTAGACCACAAAAGACAGAAAGGTGTTGGAAGTACAGTTTACCCACACCCTTATCCTTGCCTGGCTGCAGGAGAGGAGGGTCTGTCAGGAGAGGGTCGGTCATGGCTCTGCTATCCCTCAAGAGTCCCACCCAAGGAAAGGGCCCAGAGGTGGATTCCTCTAGCCCTCATGCAACATGCATTTGAAGAGAGGTGAGAGATGAACCTCCCTTCTAGGCATAGCGGCTAAGCTCCCCACCAATGAATATCCCCACATCCGCAGAATTCCTGAAAATGCCAGTTCTTTTGGCCATTGCACCAAAGGAAAAATCAGTGAATGGAGAGACCAAGTAACTATCTCAGGGTCACACAGGCAGGCAGGGGTTGGCAGAAACCCCAGCATAGCTTCTTTCCCTTTGTTTCCAGCCACTGGGTTATACTGTGTCTTCTGTATTCAGAGCCCCTGTGGATGGGTGAGCCTACAGGCTGGAGATGCTGGCCCGCCGCACTCCCCAAAGCTCTAACTTTTTGCACACGTAAAGGTGCAGCTTCTAGCGCTAGACTGCAAGAGTCTGGACTCCAGCTGCATCCCGCCCTGCGGGACTCAGTGTAAATCACTTAACTTGCTCATACCTCTGTCTCTTCATTTGGAAAATGGGGATGATAACAGTGCCTAACATCATAGCCTGGTTAGTGGATTAAAATGATAACAACATAAGTGTGTCCATTGCCACAGCCACTTCCACTATGACTGTGCTGTTGCTGGGCAGGTAGGGAGGAGAACAATTCAGAGCCTAGATTCAGAGGCTGGCCCAGCCTTGGGCACGTTTCTCATTTCTGAGTCTCCCGGTGGGTAACACCTCCAGCTTCAGGGTTAATGCAACTCGAATTCCAGAGGCATTTTTTTCGTTTGTTTAAATATTTGCCTACCATCGCGTCTGGTTTCCTGTCAAGGGAAACAATCCAGATGTGGTTCCAGACAGGCACCTTAGGGCTCTTGGTATGAGTCAATTGGAAACTCACCTCCTAGGACTGTGAGCTTGACCTCCACTAGGGGGCAGCATGACACAAGTGTCCCAAAACTGGCCTGAAAAGCCCGGGGACCCAGACAGAAAGAAACCTGGCAGGCCACACTAGCAAAGACTTGGGTGAAAGAAAACAGGAATCAGAATTTGGTCTCTATTAGACCTTCTCTTCTTCATCAGGCATGTCAATGCCAGGCTGGGGGTTCAAATCCGTTATGCTGAAAGCTGGGGTTCGGGCTGCATTTTGCTGGAGAGCAAGGCATGTGTGGAGGGGAGAGGGTGCTGGAGGAGTGCCTGGGATAGTCCAGGCTTAGGCAGGTGGAGATGGAGCAGAGGAGGCGTGAGGAGGTGACAGGTATAAGGTGAGACAAGAAAGCTCAGGCCCACAGTGGGGAGGCAGAGAAAGGCCTGGGCCATGTGGCCATCTTTGGACTAATCAATCAGCCTGTCAGTGATGGACTGGCCCTGTGAAAGCACCCACTGTGCGCCCCGAACAGGCCATAGATGTTGAAGCAGATACCGGGGGACTGGCCCCACCACTAGAATGGCTGACCCCACCCTCCACGACCTCAAGTGGGTAAAACATGCCTGGGAACTGAACTCTCTAGGTGGAGTTGGGCTTGGAGCCCGTGACAGATTGATTCCATTGAACAAGTATGGGTCTGGCCTTTGCTTCTCACACTAGCAATCTGAGATCCACAGCGGGCAGCGTACAGGGGCCAGCTCTGACCCCTAGCCTGCCTGATCAGGGTCAAACTTCCTGTAAACCTGCAGGTGTGGCAGGCAGATGGTGGCTGCAGACCAGCTGAGTCACGGCTGCCAGTGGGGTTGCCAAGGCAACGGCCCGCTCCAGTTCTGTCCCTCTATGGAAACACGGGCTGTGGGAAGCCTTGGCAACCTGTTTCTGAGGGAGGCTGCAGTGGCTGGACACGTGGAGCCCCTCCTTCTTCACATGGGGAGGCTAAGGGGGCAGGGTTCCTATCCTAGCCACAAGGTGGCCACAGGACACTGCCCACGAACACTGAGTGGCAGGCGGGATGGGTCCAGGGCCGGGTGCCCACCCCTAGAAAGTTGAGCCACCTTCTGCTGAGTGGGTGAGCCTTGCGAAGGAAGTAGAACCCACAGCTGGTGAACAGGGGTGGCCTGGTCCTCTGGCTTTAGACAGGACAGGGATGCTAGGCACAGCACAATCGCTCCTGTGTGACCACTTGTCACTTCCTCCAAGCAACCTGCTTGTGATAAGGCTGCTCATCATCTCAGTGAGGGAAGCTGACTCGCGCATTCCCCACTCAGCCCAAGGTGTCACTATCACCTAGATTTCCTGAGGCTTAGTTTTCTCACTGGTGTCACAGGACACGCTCCCAGGGGACACTGGAGGGACCGGAGCTACCCAGGAAATATCTCTGAAGTACTCCTTAGGTACTCCAGAGGGCCCCATTTTCAGCTCATTTTGTGGGTATTTTACTTAACCCTTTCTGAATCCCGTTTCTCTTGCTTCTAAAATGGGGTGAGACCATCAGCTCTCCCAGGTTCCTGGCTCAGCACCCCACAGGGAGACGACCTGTGTGACTAAGAGGAATGGCCTCTATGGGTGGGAGAGGGCAGAGCAGCTGCCTGAGGCCCCTTGGCATACAGTAAGACATCCCATAATGTCAGTTATTTTAGGGGGAGGGTAACAGGGAGACAGGAGTGGGTAGCAGGAATTGGAGGAAAAGCAAAGAAAATCGTAACAATAAAAATGACCCTCAAAGTGGGAAGCAAGTGAGGTTGAGGATGGGAAAAGTCAGAACTCCTTTATGCTGCTAGTGAGAATGTAAAATATTCAGCATCTTTGGGAACACTTTATAGTTCCTGAAAAAGTGACACACCGTTCCCGTGTGACTGAGCAGTCCCACAAGCAGGGACTTAGACAGATATGTGCACAGGAATGGAATGTCCTGAGCAGAATTTTTCATAAAAGCGCCAAGGAGAGAACCCAAATATTCGCCAGTGGACGAATGCACAAACACATAGAATAGCTGGTGCCGTGGACCATTATTCAGCTACAGAAAGGAACGGCCCATTTCACGGATGCTTGTGAACAAACCCCGGAACACTGGAAGGCAACAGAGAGAAAGGAACACCAATGATTCCATTTCTACAACACTCAGAAAAAACAAATTCACAGAAACAGAAAGCAGAGAGGTGGTTGTCTGGGGCTGGGGGTGGGGTCTGGACATGAAGGTGTGACTAAGAGCGACCGCATTGTCCTGGGGCGACAAGAACACAGGTGATTGCCGAACATCGTAAACATGCTCAATGCCGCTGAACGGCATAGTTGAAAGTGGTTGATTTTTTTTTTAATCCCACATGAATTTTATCTCTATAGAAATGACTTTAAAAAAAAAAATTGAAATGAAGCAATGGCTGTTTGTCCCACACAAGTGTCCTGAGGGCAGCCCAGGCCCTGAGACCACCTTTTAAAAGCGAGGCAGTACTTGTTCCTGGAGCCAACAAGGGTGAGACAGGCCAGGACGAAGGCTACTCTGAGACCAGTTCCCAAAACGGGGCTCCTGAACGAGCAGGCAGCGTCAGCATCTCCCCGGGAGCTTGTGGGAAGCACAAATCTCCAGCCTACTGGATGTGTCTGTTTGACACCGTGGCACGACCAAGTCATCTAGACAGTGGAAGCCCAAGAGCCTTGAACTCAGTGTACAGAGGAGTCACAGCACACCTCATAATGTTTTAAGGGCTGGGAGGGAAGGAACCCCAGACCTACTGAGTGCGAGCCTCGGGGTGGGTCCTTTCCTGTTGCTCATGTAAGTCTCCCAGATGCCCCAGTGGGACACCCGCCAGCTAGTTAACAAGAGACATTCAGTGTCACACAGGAGCTGGCAGATGGGCTAGTCTGGAGGACAGAGGGATTCTCTAGAAAAGCCAGTGAACCTGCAGTCCTCAGGCTGGGCGGGAAGAGCACCTGGGACAGGGATTCACCCCATTTCCCCTGTGCAGGGGAACAAGCCCTGCCCCCCACACCTCCTTCCTCTCCCCATGAGAGGCCCTCCGTGGTGTCCTTACCCATCTCTGTCGATGTGTGGCAGGGACTGCTTGGGTGTGTGGCGGACCTTCCGATGGAACTGGGTGAAGTCCAGCTTTTCAGGCTGCAGGTCCCAGGTGGCACCACTAAAGGGGGAGGGTGGGGGGAGAAGACACATGTAAGGCAGGAGGCTCGGTGGGTGGGGAGGGGAGGGCACCCACACCTGAGGGCAGCGGCCTGTTTAGACCCATCTGGAATGGAACAGAAGGTGTCAGGCCTTCGCCTTTCAATTCTGCTGTGGGAAAATTCATGCTCCCCAGACACGCATGTGGGCTGGCTGCCCCCTCTGCAGGGGTCCCCACGACAGCCCAGTTTGTTTCATGCCTACATTTAAGAAGGGCTGGAAAGAGGAGGAGGACAAAAATCTGTCACCAGAACACACAATGATGCTCTGGAGAGGGTGAGCAGAGGTGGGGAGGCAGGGCCCGGCTCCCCAGTTCCCACCCCAAGAGCCCCGCCATGCTGGAGAGTCTATACCCAGGCCAGACATGCCTGCAGTGTGCCCAGAGTTGGGCAGCTCAGGGGATGAGGCAGAGATGACTAAAGACTGGCCCGAGGCCTCTACCTGACAAGAGTGATAAGCACCACAACCAGGGTATGCCCCTTGTCCTGAGGAGTCCTGTCTAATGCCAAGTACCATCAGGAGCCTTCTACGGTCTGAACCAGTCAGCCCTCCTTTTGTGTGTGTTGCTAAGGAGCAAACCAACCTCATGTGTGCCTTGCAGACACTCGACCACTGAGCTGCAGAGCCCCATTTTCCCTTTTCCGTAGACTGTCATGTGCAAAGGGTGGGGGCCTATACCTCAGCCTCCCATAATAGCCCTGTGCCCCTTCTTCCTTCTACGCTTCCAGCCTCCCTGTCCAGCCTCACTGTCACTCCCCTGCTCTCTCCCTCCCCTTCAGTCCTGCCGCCCTTCGCCTCTTCCTTTCTTGGATGCTCTCTCGTTCTTCTCCGCGAGCCTCTGTTAGTGGACCTCCTCCCCTACAGCCTATCTCTCTGCTTCCCTACTGAACCTGCCCCGTAAGCCCTGATGCGGCAGGAAGCCCTGGCCAGCACTGGACACCACAGGGAAAGAAGGGAGTTACCTGAAGGAATCAAAGGTGTTGGCAGCCCAGATATCTGTGCCCAGCATGTCTAGAGAGTTGTCTTTGTTTCCATTCTGAAAGAGACAAGGTGAGGCGCTGACATCACTGTCTGGGCCAGGACACTGAAAACAGTTGGGTAGAGGCCCACCGTAGGTCCAAGCCTGAGAGGGCTGCAGGGCCCTCTTGACACCTAAGGCCTGAATGGGTGGAGGCTGGAGTGAGTCACCTAAGAGAGTGTCCCAGCAGGAGCATCAGGAGGGCCAGGGGACCACTGGAGACTACAGGCCTCCTCCCGCACACAGCCCCTCGCTGAGATGGTGTTCCACAGAGGTGTGCATTCAGGACCTGACATGCCTGCATCTCTGCTTCCGAAGCCTGTGGTCCCTTCTCAATGCCTCAGTACCCAGCAGGCACTCTGTATGACTGTCCGGGCCTTCACCATCACTGGCTGCCTGATGACAATGGTTTCTCCCTGGCCGTGGGATCCAAAAAGCCAGGCATGCTGAAGCATCCATGCAGGAGTGAGCTTTTTAAACATTCAAGCCTTGCCTCCTGAGAAGCCCCACAGACCAAGGCTGCCCCAGCAACTGCATTTCTTACGTTCACCACTATAGGCTGCATCCTTGGGGGCCTCCTACATGACTCACCCCGCAGACAGAACATGCTTTACTTGGTGCTGTTTCTATGATTTGGTCACTGCCCTCTGGGTGCTAATCACCCCAAAAAACCCTCCAACCCCCAACTTCATTCTGGTGCCCTTCATCAGTCCCCCCAACCTTGCCTAGTGTTCATTATCATGCAGGTCTGAGACATGGGAGCTCATCCCTACATGTAAACCAGTGTTTGCAACAGAATTGTGTACAGATGTCCCTACACACGACCACACAAGGATACAGCAGCACCTTCACCATCGTGCTGAGGGGAGCCACCCACACGCCTGCCGACAGCCGACCACACAGAACAGCAGCTATGTTCACAGGCTGGAATATTACACAGCAGTGAGAATAAACAAATGAAAACAACACGTGACTGAACAAGCAAACCCCACGGACAATGTGGAGAAAGGAACACAGACAAAAGAGTACTGGCTATGTCGTGTGACTTACGGAGTTTCAGGACAGAAAAACTAAGCTGTGACTACAGAACTCATACAGAAGGGGGCACCAAAGAAACTGACCAAATGTCCTATCTGGTTTGGATGTTTAGTTTGTGAAAATCCGCTGGACAACAGGACACACTGCTTTTCTTTAGGTGTGCTGTGACTCCTGCTTAGCTACCTGGTGCTGTCCTGGCCTTCATTCTCGGGTCCTCTCTGCAGGACCAAGCTACTGATCATCCATGAAGACTAGTCCATCCCAGGACCCACCAGGACTCAGAGCCACTAGCTCCCCTGGAAAGGGGTGTGTTCCATAGGTGCCTCAGCAGCTCCTGACACAGCACAGAGGAGGAGGAGGAGCCATGAGCCCCACCCACAAAGCTGGTGTGTGATGACCCATTCTCAGTGACAATGCAGCATGACCTGGGCTGTGATTTGGGCACCAAAGCAAAGGCACTATCACAACGCTGTGACTAACGCCTTGTGCTGTGACAAAAGCATGGCTATGACGTTGCTAGGGAACAAGAAATTTTTTCACTGCCATCTTATGGGCCCAGTGTGGTACATGCAGTCTGCTGCTGGCTGGAACTTCATTATGTAGTCCATGATTGTATATGCATACATACTACATACAACGTACATATAGATACCACACACATCACACATAAATATGCCATACATATCATATCTATCTATCTATCTATATCACATACACCATATATTTACGCATCACATGCATTATACACACACACACACACACACACACACACACACACATCCCACATACAGGCTATACATACACAAACCACACATACCAAACATACTACAGATACGTCATATATATTGTGCTGGCTGGTTTTATGTCAATTTGATACAAAGCAGGAGTCATCAGAGAGGAGGGAGCCTCAATTTCAAAAATGCTTCCATAAGATCCGGCTGTAGGCAAGCCTATAAGGCATTTTCTTAATTAGTAATTGATGGGGAGGGTCTAGTCCATGGTGGGTGGTGCCATCCCTGAGCTGGTGGTCCTGGGTTCTATAAGAAATCAGGCTGAGCAAGCCATGAAGAGGAAGCCAGTAAGCAGTTCCCCTCCATGGCCTCTGCATCTGCTCCTGCCTCCAGGATCCTGCCCTGTTTGAGTTCCTGTCCTGACTTCCTTTGATGATGAACAGTGCTGTGGAAGTGTAAGCCAAAGAAACCCTTTCCTCCCCAACTTGCTTCAGTCATGGTGTTTCATCACAAGAATAGTAACCCTAACTAAGGCATATATATATACAACAACATATCAATATATATTCACACCACACACACCATGCATACGATATACCACACATACACCCACTATACATATACACATACTATACATATATGTACCACATACACATACATACCACATACTATACATATATATGCCATATACACCATACATATACAACCCACACACCATACATATATATACCACATGTACCCACATACACCATATATATATATACATATACACATACCATATATACCATACATATATACACCACACACCATATGTCTACCCATCATACACCATATGTATACACACTACACATACCATACATAGATGCACATACACATACATCATCTGTTCATAGCTCTCTTAATACTCACAGACATCAGAGAAGTGCAAAGTGGTAGAGGCTGCAGACAGACCCCACCTGCTACCTGAGTTCTGGAACGTCATACTGGGAGCAGCTGCCCGCCCCACCCTACTGTTGTGGAATATTATTTTAAGATGTGTTATATTTGTTTATGCTATGGAACATTTGTTTGATGATGCAAAGATGTGTTGCCTTTTTTTTAATGTTGCATTTGTTTAACTCTGTGGAGCTATGCTACTTTGCCTGTCTAAAGCACCTGATGGTCTAATAAAGAGTTGAATGGCCAAAAGCAAGGCAGGAGCAAGGATGGGGGTCTGGCAGGCAGAGAGAATGTATAGAGGGAGAAATCTGGTAGGAAAGGAGAAAAAGCAAGAGAAAAAGGAGGAGGACGACAGGGGCCAGCCACCCAGCCACACAACCAGCAGTGCAGTAAGAAAGAAAGGTATACAGAAATAGACAGAGGTAAAAGCCCAGAGGTAAAAGAGAGATGGGATAATTTAAAGTTAAGAAAAGTTGGCAAGAAACAAGCCAAGCTAAGACCCAGCATTCATAAGAAAGAATAAGACTCCATGTGATTTATTTGGGAGCTGGGTGGTAGGCCCCCTAAAGAGTAAAAGAGCAAAAGAACAAAAACAACCAACTACACCCTATCCCAGGACTTGCACAGAGAAGTGACTGTCACACTGGGAACAGAGAGGAAGGTCCCAGGGTCAGGCTCATCCCAGCACCTCTCCATCTTTTCATGTCCGACCCTCTAGGCTCCCAGAAGTCTCCATTTCCCCCATTGCCACATGGGTAATGGGAATAGGGCATTGTGTGGCTTGGACTTCATCCTGTTTGTGGCAGCTCGGAGGTCATACTGGGTTGAAGAATGCATGGAACTGTTTTCCTCTCTGCCATAGAGTGCTCTTCCCAGACTCAAACACAGGGAACACTTCCTCCAACAACCCCTCCTGCACAAGTTTCTTCCTCCTGGTGAGTCTAGCTCAACATGCATCTTTCCTGTGGCTCTGTGGGACCTTTAGACACTATACGCGGAACAGTAGCACATGCCAGTGTGGGAGCTGATCCCTTCCTGCTGGGACCTGTAGACACTGCACAGAACAGCAGCGCATACCAGTGTGGGAGCTGATCCCTTCCTGCTGGGACCTTTAGACACTACCTAGAACAGTGCATACCATTGTGGGAGCTGACCCCTTCCTGAATGTTCTCCAGCATGGCTCCCTGGAGTGCTCTAGAAAGACTAAACCCCTGGCTTTCAGATGCCAGTGTGCATCAGAATAACTCTGGAGGGTAGTGTTGGTAGTTCAAGTGCAGTCCAGCTGGAATGGTCCAGAACATGCCTTTAGAAACATAGTCCGACCCCTGCGGTGGTGGCACACACTTTTAATCCCAGTGCTTGGGAGGCGCAGAGGCAGGCAGATCTCTGAGTTTGAGGCCAGCCTGGTCTACAGAGTGAGTTCCAGGATAGCCAGGACTACATAGAGAAACCCTGTCTCGAAAAACCAAAGGGAAGGAAAAAAGAAAGAAAGAGAGAGAGAGAGAGAGAAAGAAGGAAAGAAAGAAAGAAAGGAAGGAAGAAACATAGTTCTTCTTTCTTTGGGGCCTGAAGGCGCTTTAGGGGTGGAGTAGTCAAAAAGGCTCCTTATCAAATATTTGGGAAATGCAGAGTTAACAAATCAGGAAAAAAATCAACATGTAGTAGATTATTAGGAATGCAAGGCGTGGAAGAGTGTGTACAGGAGAGCAAGGCAGTGAGAGCAGTGAGCTGCCACAGTGCTAGTTGTCTTTGAATACCCAGCGTGTGGCAAGTTTTGTTGATATGTGTGTACTGGGGGAGGGAAGTGAGGACAATTCTAGGCTATGCATTTGGAGATTGGGTGGAAACTGGCTGAACAGGGCACAGGACATCAGGAGGAGCCTCCCATGATCAGGGATGTTGATGATAACGCTTTAACTAGAGAGTTTGGGGTGTGCCTATTGGATTCACCCAGCATATCTGCTGCAGCAGGTCACATGGAGAAGGGGGGCTGCCCTCGGCTATACCCTTGGCCCTGGATGGCCAAGAGCGTTGAGTTGCCAGTTAGCCAGAAGCTGGGCTGAACAGGCCCTGGTTCCAAGCACTAGAAACACAAGGAGCAGTCTGGTGGCTTAGCAGTGCACAGGGTCTCATCCCATACTGTTCTTGACACAGAATGTGACCCCACAGCTTCCACAGTGGATCTTCTCACTTCTCAGGCCCATAGTTGCCAGGGGCTGAGAGGCCTGTCCCCAGCCTCCTGTACAGCCCACACAAGTGCATTAACATAGAGTTAAGTTCTGGGTGGACACAGGGGCCTGACGCTGCAGT